CACACAAAGACTTAACAAAAATTTACCAAATCAAGACTAAATTCCTGAAAATCTTCTATACTACTAAAAAAAATATTTCCACCCACCTTAACTTAGCTGTTTATGAATAGGCATTAGCTATTCATGAACTACCAATAGTTTGTTACCACCTACTTGGTGTTCTCACGAATTAAAGGTTTTTTCATGTGGTAGGCTAGGATTAACTCCCACCAAATGAAGTGGTGTAGGATTCTTAATGTAATGATGATAAACTTATGTTTAATAAATGTCTCGCATTTAATGTTTGTTTGCAGCAAAAAAAAAAAAAAAGAAAAAAAGAAATCATATTGCTATATATTTAAGACTTTCTTTTCTACTCAACTTGTATACAAAAATTTATTATTAAATAAAAAAATACAAAATTTTTTTCTTCAAAAAAAAACAAAAAGGAATTTTGAAATATCATTTATATTCTTCAAGAGCTAATTTATTGAATCTATTCACACACTACTTGATATTTTTATTATCGATGTTGATAAATATCTTGCTATAATCATTCACAAAAACAACAATATTAATATTATATATACTACTACCTCAATTACATATACTTATTTACTGAAGTTTGAAAACCCATCCAAAGCTTAATTCATATCTATTTGCCTTTAAGAAAATAATTATTAAAGCCTAAAAATTATTTCTGTTTTCTTTCAAATCTGTAAAAAAAAACTTAACAATTATTATATAAAAGTAAAATTCTCACTCCTTAACCTCATACTACAGAAAGCTATTAATTCTTTTTTTGAATATCAATATATCTTGAAATTATTGGACACTAACAAGAAAAGTTTTATAAAGGAGCTATTTCAACTATGGACTTCATGTCTCTTGGAATAAAATTAATATCAATATTAATAAACAAGAAAATATTTTTATTCTGGAGTAAAAAACTGAAACCTTCATATTTTCTTTAAACATACATATACCAACTGAGAAAATAATTATCAACAATAGTATACAACTGGATTGTGAAATTGAAGCAATATATACAATACTCTTTAAGCATAGCAATAATTATTTCAGCCTATATGCAGCCAATAAAAATCATGCAACTTTCTCTAAATGCAATAATAATTATTTCAGTTTACATACAATTAATATAGTTTACATATTAACTAATGCTATTACAATATATAACATAATCTTGAGCACAAATACTTTAGCACAAACCAGTTTTGGTTTGGAAATTGAAAATTATCTTTCTTTCACCTAATTAATTAAAACCTTAAAATCTCTTTTTAACTTATGGATAAATAAAATCAATAAGCTTTTTGAGCCAGTCCATCTTCTAATAAGCAGAAAAAAATTTTAAAGTTATGTAAAAAATTTAACAAATGTAACAAAATTCCCAAAGCCATTGTTGATCTTTTTTTGAAAATCAAAACATTTTAAAAGGTATTTTCTCAAAAATCAAATACAGGAATTATAACTTTTTTATAACATTTGTTAAGGACAAGTTAATTAAAAGACAATATTAGAAAGAATATAAGTCTATTGAGAAAAATTTCATTCTAACTATTGTCAAGCTAACAATTTGAAATACATTATAAGATTAACTAAAAACATAATCAAAAATTTATTAACAATGCATTTTTTATTACTTACCTTAGATTGATAGACTTTACTTTTCTCAAATATTAATAAGTACAGATGGTGGACAAAATATTGTGGACACTTAAAAAAATTGTACTTAATAATTTTTTTTTTATAATAAAATTTTAAATATATAATTAAAACAATATATTTATTTAATATCAATATTCCACCACCATCACCACCTCCTCAATTTCTTCCACCTAACCCCATTGCCACTGTACCTAATCCCATTCCCGTTGATCTATATCATGCTCAGTTTGCTATATTAAATAATTAGATTCTAATATGCTGGGCCAGCAAGTTTCACTTAGACATACGTGAATAAAAAGTTACATTACTTAGTCGTGTCACTGCAATTTGCTGTAGTACTTAAGACACACTGCATAAATATGTTTAATAATTCAAGGATATTTTTGAATTATATGAAAAAATACCAGCTGGCTATGTAAAAAAATGAAACGGATAATATATAGAATATATATCATTTAAAAATATAAAATAAAAATTATTTTCAAAGTTTATTTTTTAAAAAATTTTTTATTAAATGGGTAGTGGTTGTTTCAAGGGAGGAATTAACCGGCCCCTGGACCATAAGATGACAGTTCCTTCCCACTGCTATCTAAGTTCTCATTAATTTTACTATCTTAATATCCTTCTCATAAAAGCCTTGTTGATCGGATTCGTCTTGCTGAATTCATCGGGTACTTGCATAATATTGAATAATTTCATTGATTGATGTGAATTCGAATGCAATTCTACCAAGATTATTATGGTGAGTTTCTTCGATTGCATCATGTCTCTTGATGTTTGCGATTAATTTCAGTATTGATCTTACCGATTTCTACGGAGTTCATTAGTACAAAAAGAAGCACATGCCGACAATCCTCATACATAGAGAAGCATTTTCGGGAAAAATCATCGTAAGGAAGAAAAACAAAGATGTGGATAGAACCATAAAAGGGGTGTTATCCGAGACGTTGATCATAGGCATCTAGAACCGGAAAAATGTTCGTTAGCATATAAGTATACACAAGCGTGGGGAGGTGTCATACAAACAACGAAAAATGTACAGTACATTAACTCGTACAAAACAAATAGATTTGATGTTTTTGTTGAAGGCAGTCACAAGGTGATCAGAGAAATTATTATGTGGAGAAGATTAGCCTTGTTAGCTTCAAATGTTTTATTCCCGTAATTCATAGGCAAAGAGTTTCTTCATCCTTTATAAGAAATTCATAGATTAGCATTTATTTATAGCGAAGCTAGTGACTCTGACACATATATATTTGGCTAGAACCTACGAGAAGTTTTTATTGCAAAGCAAGGGTAACGCGCTACACCTTGCGTCAACGACATGACGTTTATTACTCGTACCCCAAATTCAACAATGTTTACAAATACGTTGACAAATTCGATCCAACCATTCGATCTTCCAACTATACCTAATTAATTCATTTATAAAGGCGCCCATTTAACTGTTCACTCGATATAATATGGGTTTTGTGAATACTAAAGCCTCTCAGCTAATTAAATATTACTGTTCTTTGTTCGTACAAATACGTTGACAAGTTCAATCGACCGTTCGATCTTCTAAATCTAAATAATTTTCATTTTGTAACAGCCTACTCTTGATCCTCATTCCTAGATCCTAAATAATATAAATTAATATTCAAACTACATACTTTTTCACTATATATAACATGGTTATTTTTGTATTAATAGGTTAAGGAACTAAGTTTAGTTTTCTCGCGACCTTATATTTTTGGCTTATTACATCAGACACATAGCAGGTAATTATATTTAATATAAATAAATTAGGTCACACGAGCAATATGCACTGAAAATCGTTAATATGCGTATATTGAATGCCCGATTTTGTATAAGTTTTACCGGTATTTAAATCATAATAATAACCTTCATCATCATCGTCAGAAATCCACAGAACCCATCATCATCTTCCTCTTCGTCGTTATCGGAGAATCTGTCATCATTTTCATTATCAACATCGGAGGAATCCAAATTAAAATCTAAGAAATTATCAGGTATGCTTATCTCTTCCTTGGGTAAAAGATTTCTTTTTCTCACTCACCTCATATTTCGAATTGCAGAGGCAGACACAGAATGACTAGCTTCTTTCTCCTCAAAAGTTTCCATGACCATTTTATCAAAATTGTCCTCAGCTTTGGGCAAATTGACTGGACCAAATTCTGAGGAATCATCTGAAGAATTGGAGATGTGTGTTAAAGGAATAGGTGTGATTGATATGCTTACTTCAGCTGAAACTGCTTTTCGATGAATTGGTCTGATCATCTGAAATCTCCTCTTCGGAATCTATGATAGAGTTATCCTGTTCATCCAGTAATTCAGTGTTGAGATTCTTGGAGAAGTAATCAATAATAGTTTGAATTTTACTATAAGATAATTCTGCAATAGAATTAGTGCTATATGTTTTGATATATTTTATTTTATCAATTCCTATTTTTTTGATAAACTCATAAATCTTCCTGGCTCTACTGATATTTTGATATAAAGTATTTCGTTTGGTACCAGGATTGTGTATAAAAATAAAATTGTAAATCTATCATTTGGCCTTTTTCATGCCCACCTTTTCTTTGATCATAATTTCATCCACACTTTCATCCAGTCCTATAATAAAATTACATTAGCATAAAATTTCTATCTGATTGGCTTTTATTGTTTTATCTTCTGCATTACATGCATCTTTGTATAAGTGGGCTATATTATTCAATGCATCTGAATTTTTCTCACAGACCGTAAGCAAAAATTTTGTCATATAATGTTTATCAGATTCATTCACGTTAAAATCAAATACATCTTGCACAATATTTTCCACTTCTTTCTTTTTATGTGATCCTGAAGTATTTTCACAGTTTTTAAATCTGAAAATTCAGAAACTCCATATAAATTATCTAATATGATCACTATACAACCCACTTTCCAAAAATTAATTCTTTTAATTACATCAGTAGAGTAGATAGCAGGACAGTTTCTGTACTATTTGATGACTTCGATTCATGTGATAGCTTCTTCCTATTATGTTGCCTACTAACGCTTTTCTTATATGAATCATCCAAGAAAGTATTCATTTTTTTGTCCTCAGATGACTTCTTATCACTTACATAAAATGGTAAAAAAAACCCCCAGTCTTTTTGGAACCCTTTATTACAGTATATTGATCTATATATGATCCTGAAAATTGGAATTGAACAGACTTGTATAGACTTGCATGAGGTTTGGAACACTGTTAAAAATAATGATGGATTATAATCCACATAATAAATTTAATATAAACTTAAGAATCAAGAATCAAATCAAATCAAATTGAATTATTAGAATCCTTAAATCTATATTAATATTAGGTATATTAACAATTACTTTGAAAGAATTATCTTGGATTGGCTGTTTACTTTTCTTATTGTCATTTCTTGCCTAAGCACCTTTGGCTAGTTTTACTACTTTGGCTTTTAACTTAGCAAACTTAACATTGTATTTAACATTCTTGGTTAAAGAACCTATCTTATATTTTTTCAACTTCTCAATTCTAGTTTTGAGTTTAGCTTTTTCAGTATTATATTTTTTACTTTATTTTACAGTCTGACTTAGAGCTTCAAAAAGCTTGAATTTAAGCTCAACTCTTTTTGAATCAAACTTGACTAACTTTGTTTTAAAATCAACATTCTTTTTTCTAAGCTTTATAATCTTAATTAAAAGTTTAACATTTAATTCTTTTAATAAATTAACAGAGTAAGTATCATTATTTTTTACAAATTATATAAAATATTTAAAAGAAAAAATTATATGTTTTTTCTTATGGCCTATAAACAAAATTTACTAACAAAATTTTTATTAGCCAAAGGCTTTCTCATACTAATATATATTGTAATAGTGTAATAACAAGTTAATCACTAACTTTAGCAGGAATTTGCATAACTGTTACTGGATAAATAAATGAAAGAGTGATTTGAGATGGGTTTGTATTTGACAAAGTTTTTATTAATTTTCTCACTATTTTTCTTTTCTTCTCTACTTCTTTATATTTTATATATTATTTATACTTTATATTTGGCCGTAATAGCTTAGATATAATAATAATTAATAATATAGCAACATGGATAAAGCTAAATTATATAATTTTTTTTCCAATTCTTTTTATTCTTATTTTATTACTTAATTATTACAGCCAGCTTTCTATTGTTATATCAATTGGTCATGTGACTAACATAATATTTCATTTTTTCTTATTATAACATAAAAATAAATACAAAAATTTAAAACTTATCCTGGAATACATATTGCTAGAAAAAATACAGTAACTATTTTTTAATAATTTTTTTAATTCTAATAATCTTACTGGTTAGAAAATTATTAATTGTTATTTATTCTTTTAATAGGACAATGATATTTTTAATTATCTTTTTTATATTGTTTCAGAAAATATCAAAATTTTTTTTAATATTTTGAGATTTTCCTCTTTATTATATAAAAAAGATTCTCAATACTCTTAATTGCATGCATAATATAAATATTCAATCAGGTATATAAATACTATTACTTTGAAATATATATTATATACTATATTATAGAATAAATTGAAGATTATATATAATTAATTGTACTGTAGTGATGAACTGCAGGCAATGAACTCAAATTCTCTTAGGAACGAAGAAAATAAGCAAGCAATATTATTCATTTTCAAGATCATACTTAGAGATTAACAATCAGAGATGGATATTCAAGTATTAGCATAAAAGTTTCACACTTGTATGTTTTCAACTCCAATGATTAAATAAACATAATAAATACTTGTTTGATTATGGAA